TCACCATCATGTGCTGTGCCGGTCTTCCAGTAGTTATTATATCCTCTAACAGAATCCTATATTCTTCATTACAACCATGACACACATAACTATACATACACAATTATACATTTTATGACATCAGTGCCCGCTGCTTTCCTCCTGTATCACAATCAAAACATCGCAGACACAGTCTGGCCGTTAGAAAGGGTCATTCTAGGGCCACCTGTTCATTCACCAAACCACTCTCTCTCTACCTGTGAAATACGATATTGGGCCTCTGACCTAAATAAAAGGGCAGCCTCCATATGCTGCATGCTCAGAACGTTTCTCGTTGTTGTTTGACTTTCCTTTCCTCCAATGTTCCAAGATGATGTCTGCTCCAAGAAATCATTATAATATACATATTGATACTCATACTTTGCATTAATACACTTGGATCTGTCAACATAGCATTTGCTATGTCTCAGGTGTCCAGTTAGACGACTCGCAAGATCCAGTTAACACATATCAGAGCAATCATCATCATCATGTGTCCTACCAATAACCCAGGATGCGATAACCGCTATTATCACACTGTATCTTATCTAATTACTTAACATGAACACAGTACTACTTACATAACATGAAGCAATATTTCGTGCATTATCTGGCAAGTCACAAAACAAAAGTATGGACTTAGCTCCATCGTAGCGACATGATCAGAATGCCCACAGCATCCTTCGTTGGCGGAGATCTCAGTGCAAGTGTCTCTGTCAGGGCTCACAGTAGTGTATTTATCCCTGATGCTACCTCTCTCCTTTGTCCTGAGTTCATGAACCTGTGTCTTCTTAGGTCCATTAACCTTTCTCTTTCCCGCCAAAGATGGTTTTCCAAGCCACTTTGCATATTTGGATGGAAAACCCCCAGGAAATCTTGTGTCGTTGCCTTTGTTCGTTGTCCTGCCTCTGTTAATTTACGAGTATATTGGCCTGCAACAGTTCATGAACAAGCTTGGCATGCACCCACGTCTTTGTCCACTCTTGAGTCAATGCCCTCAAGGTTGTTAGACTAGCGACCCTCTTTATCTCAAGCGACTCTATACCTCCTTATTCCTCCGTGTGTTTCTTTCCTTCTATTTCCTTCTTGTAAAAAAACGTGACTGTAATCAGTACTGTCACATTAAGAGCATGCATGAAACATATTGAAAGACAGAGAATGAAGTGGTTTGGCCATTTAGTAAGAATGCAACCGGATCAGATTGCCTATAAGGCCTTTTACAATAGAACATCGGGAAGAAAGGCCAGAGGAAGACCCAGGAAAAAATGGATAGATGGAGTAGCTGAATACGGCCAGAAGATCCAGAAAACTGTCACTCAAATCACGCGAGAGGCACAAAACAAATATTTTAAACCACGACACTGGGCTGCAACCCGGTAAAAGTGAAGAAAACAATAGATAGATAGAACCGCATAAACCATATCACCAAACTGTTAATCATAATTATAAAGAGAAGAGCGACAAATAAAATACGAATGAAAATTAGTGAAGAGCAGTATGGTTTTGTAGAAGAAAAAGGCAGACATAATGCAAAATACGCATTGCGAACATTAGTAGATAAATCAATGGAGAAACAGAAGGTCATATATTTTTTCTTCGTAGATTACACCAAAGCTTCTGATAAAGTGAAACACGATGAATTGATAAAATTGTTGAAAGATATTAACACTGATGGAAAAGAACTCAGAATAATGAAAAATATTTACTGGAAGCAAGAAGCAGCAATTAAACTGGGAAATAAAGTAGGCCTGAACAGACAAAGAAAGGAGTGAGACAAGGATGTGTTTTGTCACCAAATCTCTTCTCTGTCTTCAGTGAAATAATAAACGAGGGAGGTCAAGGATAGACAAGGACTACTAGTTGGAGGTTACAATATCAACAATATTCGTTATGCAGATGATACGGCAATAAAGCTGAAAACGCAGAAGACCTACAATAACTATTAGACATTGTGGTACTAGAGAGTGCAATGAAAGAACTTTCCTTGAATGTCAAGAAAACAAAACAATGGTTATATCAAAGAAAAAGATAAAGCGGAATGTGACATCGCAATAAAAAGTAAAGTCAATAAATTCAAGTACTAGGGACATTTATAACAGCAGATGGACGATGTCTAACATAAATTAAGAGCAGAATTGTCCAGAATGGTACACCTATTTAGGCAGTAATGTAGATAAAGATGGAGGAACTGATAGAGATATTAAAATAGGAATACAAAAGGCAAGAGGAGCTTTCATAGCACTAGTTTAATTTGTGGAGGTCAAAACAAATTAAAAGAAATACTCAAACTAAAATTTTGTTATTCTAATGTCAAATCAGTACTTTTGTATGGGGCGGAAACATGGAGAACAACTAAGGTGATTACTAATAAACTACAAACATTCATTAACTGGTGCCTGTGCAGAATAAAAGGAATTAAATGGTATGATAGAATAATTAATGTAGAGCTTTGGGAGAGAACTAAACAGGCTCCAGTGGACCAAGAGGTGAGGAAAAGACGCTGGCGTTGGATAGGACACACACTGAGAAAACAGGAGAACAGCATAACTAGAATGTCTTTGCATTGGAACCCACAGGGGCATAAGAATAAAGGAAGGCCAAAAAACACATGGAGAAGGGAGCTGTAGAATGAAGTTAGAAAGATGGGCAGGACATGGGGGGAGCTCCATGCAATGGCGAAGGATGGAACGACTTGGCGTGAGTTGGTTGAGGGCCAATGCTCCATTGGGGGATAGAAAGGCAGAAAAAGAAAGAAAAAGAATTGTCCAGGAAAAAGCAGCATTTCAGAAGATTGAAAAGTATCTTATGTAATAAACCACTCTAATTAAACATCCGAAAATGAGTATTGACATGTTAGATCGAGCACATTCTGTAGTATGGTAGTGAATCTTAGAACGTGAGCAAACAGATTAAGGAGAGTTTGGAGGCAACTGGGATGTGGTTCTTGAGAAGAATGTTGCGAATACTTTGGACTGCCAGAATAACCAAAAATAAAAGCCTGGAAATGACTAATGAAAGTAGAACATTATATACAACAGTGAGAAGGAGAAAAGCATTGTTCTTTGGTCATGTAATGAGAAAAGGAGCACTGATAAATATCGTGGCGACTTGAAGGACCACTAGTAGAAGAGGCAGAGGCAGACCAAGAGAAATTATGATGGATGGCTTAAGACAGTGGCATGGCAGAATTTCATCAGTAGAATTCATCAAGAACACCAAAGACCGAGATCTGTGGAGATGCATGAACACCTACGCCAGCTGGCAAAGCACATAATGATATTGATGACAATCCAATCAGTAAAAAAAATTGGGGGGGGGGGTGGGGGGAGGGGTCCTTAATTTATTATGGGGAAAATTGTTTGGTATAAGTACTGTTTGGTATAAGTCCTATTTGGAATAAGTCATATTTGGTATAAGACTATTTGATATAATTCCTGTTTGGTATAAGTCCTATTTGGCATAATTCCAGTTTGGTATAAGTCCTATTTGATTTAAGGGGTCACTACACGGCAATTTTTCCAATTTATGACAAAAATATAACTTTTTAAATATTTCATTTTTGTAATTTTCGGCATTCGTAGAATAGATTACACACAAAATTTTTGTCCTTGGTAAACAATTTAGCATTGAAAAGTTAATACTAGAGACACCAGCCCATGCACTTTTTTAAGATAAAAAAAGTTTAAAAGTCACTTTTCTAACAATTCAATTTTTCTGTTTGTTGTGTGTGGGATCTCCTAAAATCTCAGCTAATATAATGACTAGAGATGTGAAATTTGGTGTGGATACTCCTAACACAATATTATAGGGTCAGGTCTATTTGAAATTACAGTTTGTTAAGTAATTTTGAAAAGAAATTTGATTATTATCTTAAAAAGCGACATTTTTGTATTTTTTCAACACACCTAAATTTTAATATTCTTAAAAAAATGTTTAAAAACTAGACCTGACCCTAAACATAGGTTTAAAGTTCATGAATCGATCATCTGTTTCTCAATACCTCTGTTTGTGTTTAAAATTGTAGCTGTCTAAGTACATGTTGTTTTTTTATCAAAATGACGGCTGTTGCCATGGCAACCATGTTTTTTTACACTTGAAGTCTTCAAATGTATCAACATACATCTCTACAAATGACCATTATAAAAAATTGGTCTAACATTGTAAGTAAAAAAAAAAATTTTTCCTGTAGTGACCCCATAAGTCATGTTTGGTATAGGTCCTGTTTGTTATAGGTCGTGTTTGCAATAAGTCCAAGGATCTAGAAAGCACTAACGTCATACGCCGAGAAATCTATTTTTTTTTCGTTCGCCGAGATATCATTGTATATCATATCAGTTTAAACCAACAAACTCATGGTGATATGCCTACCACTGGATGAGTTACTAACTTTCTTCTCCTTCTTCTTCTTCTTCTTCTTTTTCTTCTTCTTCTTCTTCTTCTTCTTTTTCTTCTTCTTCTTCTTCTTCTTCTTCTTCTTCTTCTTCTTCTTCTTCTTCTTCTTCTTCTTCTTCTTCTTCTTCTTCTTCCTCTTCTTCTTCTTCTTCTTCGCGTTCACCAGCTGTAATCTGTGGCAGAAAGTTCTGGTTGTTCATCCACTTCTGGACTGTAGTCATATTCTAGAACCTGAGTGTTGCGTGTGCATCCGTTTTACAAATCTGACTCATTTGTATGGAGACTGTTGATTCCTTGCCTCTCAGGCAGATGCACTCCGACTTCGAAGAAGAAAGCTCCCAGTCAGTCGACTCTTACGACATGCTTTTGGGTAGGCAGTGGGTCTTTTATTCCCTGGAATAGGGCCCCGGAACCCACACGGAGAGTTAATAACTTTAAATTATTGAGTGCAAGAAAAAAAAAGAAACAAAAATATATTAATGACTATAAATTAAAGAGCTAAGGAAGAATAGAGATAATAATTATTGATAATTTAATGTGTGAAGGGACAAAAAATATATATTTAAAAAAAACTGAAATGTTATAATCACCAGAGAGTTATTTCGATTGGTAACTGTGCATTTGAGTTGAGCAGCATGACCTGCATTCACACGTACAGTCTCTGGTGGTGATGTAATGGCAGCTGAAAGATAAGAAACCCTGATATACTGCAGTTATAAGTACAGGGCGAGGGTAGGACCTCTGAAAATATGGAGTGATGACATAAAGAACAGGTTTACAGAAACGAGCATCAGTCTGAATGGTGCTCTTGACAGAGCTCATCAACGAGCGTTATATCTCCCACACACCCCCTCCCCCGCCCCACTCCCAACATTTCACTGAAGTACAAGGCGGAAAAGGAGAAGGAAGAGAAGGAGGAGGAGGAGAGAAGAAGAAGAAGAAGAAGAAGAAGAAGAAGAAGAAGAAGAAGAAGAAGAAGAAGAAGAAGAAGAAGAAGAAGAAGAAGAAGAAGAAGAAGAAGAAGAAGAAGAAGAAGAAGAAGAAGAAGAAGATGACGATGATGATGATGATGATGAGGATGATGATGATGATGATGATGAAGAAAAAGAAGAAAACGAAGAAGAAGAAAAAGAAGAATAATAATAATAATAATAATAATAATAATAATAATAATAATAATAATAATAATAATAAGAAGAAGAAGAAGAAGAAGAAGAAGAAGAAGAAGAAGAAGAAGAAGAAGAAGAAGAAGAAGAAGAAGAAGAAGAAGAAGAAGAAGAAGAAGAAGAAGAAGAAGAAGAATAAGAAGAAGAAGAAGAAGAAGAAGAAGAAGAAGAAGAAGAGAAGAAGAAGAAGAAGAAGAAGAAGAAGAAGAAGAAGAAGAAGAAGAAGAAGAAGCAGTAGCGGCAGCCTCTTGTTATTATTATCTTTCTACTATTTGTCGTCCTCTTTCAGGCCGCCACCGTTTGGCTTTCGATGACTTTGCCTTGTGAAATACATTAAAGAAAACTCCACAGTACTTTTTGATTTTTTCCACCACAATGTCAGTCAAAAAAAAAAAAAAATGAAATCTGGCCAGGAGTAGTGTCTTCTAGAAAACCTTCAGATTACTGTAGACAGCCTCAGGTGCACAGGTCTGTTTGTGATCCATATCAAAATGAACAACCAGCAAGTAATGACGTTAAAGAATTTTTTTTTAAATGCATTGAATTAAAATAAGGAGGGCATGTAAGAGAAGACAAAGAATAGGACGACTTGACACAAGTTTGTGAAAACAATCTACTCTAACAGGAATAAAGGTGTTAAAAAAGAAGAAGAAAAAAAAAGCTAAAATAGTTTGTCCATACGGTTAGACATACTGGGAATATGATGCCAAACCAATACTTTGTATAGAGTAATCTGCGTGCGCCTGATGATGTGGTTAGTATCAGGCACGCTCACTGTGTTTCGCATGTTATTTCCTGGTATCAGTTTTATCCTTGATCCGCCTCATGTCATTTGAACTGGATAAAGGGTAAAACAGTCAGGTGTAGCCTGCAGTCACGTGCTGGTAAGGACAAATATTTGAACAGTTTTGTTTCCATAAATATGACCAATTGTACTGCGGATACGAGACTTTCTCCAAAGAAACGTGTGTGGAAAAGTCGAGAGACAGACCAAGGAAGATATTGATATACGGCGTAGCTAAATCCTGAAGACACATACCCACATACCCACACACACAAACACACACACGCGCACGCACACACACACACACACACACACACACATACTGGCGATGTTTAAAAAAAAAAATCCTTCACCCAAGCCGCTAGAGATACTGGGACACAACCCTGTGACAGAGTGACGGCACAAGAAAGAAAATCCCCTTGTCATTCATCTCTAGAGCCTCGCTTCCACATTCTGGTTGCGTAATCGTCATCACCGCTTCTGTTTCATGTAGTCTGGAAAAAAAGTTAGTTGCGTATCCTTTACGGGAAGTTAGAGAACCAATCAGCTTATTTTGACTGTTGTTGTTTTTCTGGGTAAATTTACGTTTAGTAGCTTTGCCATTGCTTACTTAACTCTCCATGCCACTGTTGAAACCAACGCAAGACGGTGTGCTGCCACATCGCCTGCAGCTGGGATCGCACCCGGCACCCCAGCATTACGAAGCGCGTTTTTAATGTCTAAGCAATAGACACAAACATTTCAGATAGTAAATGAGGCGAAAGATTCGCTTAGTGTCTTGTGGCAAGTAGGGTGGGACCTAATTAGCGCATTCGATAAGAAGCTCGCTTTCAAATCCAGCTGCGACTCGCTGCAGCTCACGGCCGGTGTTCGAAACCTGGCGGCTCTCGGGGTTCACCCAGTCTTTAGGAAATGGGTACCAGAGTGATAGTCTGGGGTAAATGGAGGAACGTCGCTGTAGCTACAGAGTTACGTGCGAACGGCGACACAGACGGACAATTCCTATCAGCTGTCTGTACTGGTGGCAAAGCACTTATGGTTTATAACCGTGTGCAATGACGCTGGTTCACATCTCCCGACCATTTACCCTTACCTTACTCTCTATTTTCATAGATGCATCCATGCTCAGTGCTTGTTGTGGTCATCATTCCGCTGGAATTTTATTTCTTCTTTTTGTTCGCGTTCACCGGCTGCAAATCCGGCGGAAAGTTCTGGTTGTTCGTCCAATTTTTGGCCTCAGTCCATCCCAGAAAATGAGTTTCGCATGCACATCTTTTTTATAGATCTGGCTTATTTGTCGGCAGACTATTGGTTTACTGACTGACTTACTTTCTACCCCACCAGGACATCACACAAGCGATAAACACCCGATGACACAATGTGCCACCAAGCGGGTGAGGATCACCGTGGAGAGGTCCCAGAAACCGCGTTCAGCCAATTGGCCATATATATATATGGCCTGGCTATATTGCGGCCCGTGGCAAGAGCCAGTGTGGGGCTTCAAATAATGAAAAATTTCGTCCAAAAAAGGACGGCAAATTATAACTGAATTGGTTTATCTGCTATTGGGAATATGTATTCCCTCAAAGGAAACATATTTGAGTAGTCAACTTTCACTACATGAGTTTTAGGGGCAGCGGGTATAATTTTTATTCTTTTCCCAAACCGAGATCCCTAAACCCACACAGGGAACGCTGGCATTCTTCACTTCCCAGACAATTTCCTTGAATGTTTTATGATGGGTCGACCTTATATTGCAGGGCATAAAAAAGAAGCAAAGGAAAGAATTCTTAAAGAATGGGAAATCTTACACATGACCACAGAACTTTAATGTAATGACATCACAACAATTTTCACGGGTGATAACTTACGTCCTTGCGCACAGCTCATCACGACCATGGACAGAATGACAAGACAGGGTAAAGGTAGGTCCTTCATGGCTGATCTGTCGATAAAATTGGAAAACAATATTATAGTTATTTACATAAATTTTACTGGTCACGTTAACCGAGTATATATTATCTTTATATCCAAGTGACACTGGACTACGTGCATTCTATTCCATTCTAGAGGAAGAAAAAAAAACGAAGCTGCTAACAGTCTCCAGTTATATATGTGGTCTGGTTTATTTGCGCCACTTGGGTGGCTAACATTGGGGTATGTGTGCCAGCTATCTGGCTTTATGTTGCTATTCTAGTAGCTAGACGCGCCTTCCTTCTTATCCTTATTCTGGACTACCTGTTGCTTCAAAGCCCTTTTGTATTGCCTCAGTATAACTGTGCTGTTTGGCTTTACGAGATTCAGGGATTTGTAGCTGTTTGATTCTCATCGTTGAGATGTTAATCCTACAGATTTATACTCGTAGTATGGGGGAAAATAGGAACACATTGCGGATTTTAAATATATATATATATATATATATATATATATATATATATATATTATATATATATATATATATATAAATAGGTCACAGATTAAAATTTCTTTGAAGACTTGGGATGTCATTATTGTTAGAAGAAGTTACTAAGTGACACGTTAAACATTTGAGTTGTATTGAAAGAGCATTGTTTAAATTGTTGTTAAAACACACGCACACACAAACGCGCGCGCGCGCGCACACACACACACACACACACGCAACTGAAGCAAAACATTGAAAGCGGATGAACAAGGGTTAGACACCGATACAAAGGGGAAGATAAAATCAAGTGGTCTTCTTCTTCTTCTTCTTCTTCTTCTTCTTCTTCTTCTTCTTCTTCTTCTTCTTCTTCTTCTTCTTCTTCTTCTTCTTCTTCTTCTTCTTCTTCTTCTTCTTCTTCTTCTTCTTCTTCGTCCTCCCATATTATTGTTTGGTTTAGACGTAGTTACGTTGTATCTGTTTACAGTAAAAAAAAAATTTTTTAAAGCTAACGACCCTTTTCCACGCTTTTAGGCGTATAGGGCATATAGGGCTACACCCATATTTTATAGACCAATCGGCACAAGATGGGAGATGTGGTCAGTATCATGCCGGTCGCCTTTACTTCTAGGGACGGCACCCAGACTTCCCTCTTGTTCCATAACTTGTGTTTTGCGAGCACACCAGTTTTACAAATCTGGTTTATTTTATGCAGACTGTTTGTTCCTTGCCTCTCAAGTAAATGCACTCAGACTTCGAAGGAAACGCCTCTAATTAGTCGACTGTTACAACATGCTTGTTTAGGGTTAGGGTGAGATATCCCCTGCCCCTTCCCTCGGAACTCTCACGGGGAGGTACTAACTGGTGTACCCAGCTTTTCTTAACTCATTATTTGTCACCCAGATTAGCTAATCCCAGTGTTGCTTTAGAAATTTCGTCTTGCTCGGTTTTAACACTTCTGTCTTCCCAAACAATAGTTTTACACTTTCTTTTATGAAAGCGAAGCTAGAGCAAAATTGTTCAAAGGATGTGTCGCGACACAGTGGTGTGTCGGCTGCAATGTGAAGATATGTCGCGAGAAAGTAAAGCGGTAAACAGAAAATCGGCACGCGGCGTTTTTCTTTTAACCTCTGGTTTGCTAGTGGATTGAATGACCGTATCGCCAAATTATTTTTTTTTTCCAAAAAGTATGTCACCAATATTAAAAGTTTGGAAAGCTCTGACTTTGAGGGTTGAGAAATTAGAAACGACCTTCACTAACCTCTATGCCAGTGCTGCTCAACTTTTTTTTTTTTTTTTTTTTTTAATTAAAAATTCAGTTACAAATTCTT